CTGGAATCAACCAATTCCGTCGGTCTTTTCAAGCAGGATGATGCTCATTGTTATTTTATGATAAATACCATCCTCTTCTTTATGCAAAAATACAAATTCACTTGAATTGGCAAATATTTATTGCTAAGTTAAGTAAATATTTATGTTTCTTGAATAATAATGGAGTATATCAGTTTATGTTAGCATTGCGAAAGGCCCAGTAACCTCGGGGTGGGGGGGGGAGTGAATCACACATGAACATCACAATCCTTTTGAGCGAATTTCGCGGGATTTTAAGGTTAACCTGTCAGGGGAGGCAGCTCACTTCGTTTACTGTTGGACCTACGGTGCCATTTTGAGGTGAATGATCCAAACGTGAAAAGATCAATTTTGTCGGTGTGGACCCGAAGTGGGTAGAGTGAGTGCTGATAAAAAAATAGACAGCCTCGATAACGCTGGTTAGAACCCTTATGAGACTACTGGTCTTTCCCCAATTCCAACAAAAACATGCTTCATTTTTTTGACATCAAATTGCCGGCCACTTTAATCATAGACAGCCTATCCTGGAGGTGTAAATGTATTCTTTCTCCATGACACTCAAGCCATGTGAACCATTTCAGCCACGAGATTACCCTAAAATGAATCTGAATGAATCTGAATCATCATCGGTGGCAATTGGAAACGTTTGGTCTTCTTAATCCAAGAAATTTGAAAAAAATCTCCAGAAAACAGACGTTTGAATTGCGTGTTTGTTAAGTATATTCCCTCAAGAGGCTGTGTCAGGTTTTGTTTGCGATAGTCAAAACCCATTCAAATTGTTGTTTGACATACTGAGGTCTTTTGGAAGAGATTATGAAAAGTTCAGTAGCCTCGGTGGGATAGTGAAATCGTCATCCCATTTCGGCTGTTTTACGTGCTTGCCAATCAGCTTACAAACGTTTCATCAATAGTCGGGGCAACATCATCAGTGCATGTGATATCACCTCAGCTGGTGATGAAACGTTTGAAGCCAATCACCAAGCTAAGAGAACAGGCGAAATTCAATTCAACTGACCCGAGGTACGATAACTGATTTTCAATATTCAAAACGTATTTGAAATCGTAGGTTTATCACTTCTTTTTGCTTATCGATACACGTTTCTTTTCTGAATCGCGTCATAAGTACGTCTCCTGAAAAGAAAAACGTTAAACAAAAGATGTATTTGATTGATGAGCTTATTCACACAATGTTTCTTCACAGTTCGTAGCTCCATCAAGTACATAAAAGTGAAAAACCTTTTACCAGGATAAATTTGAATAATAAGGTCAATGGCGGTACGTCGGAAATCAATGCCTTGGCGACTTGGACTATATTTGCTTTGATAATGCTTGGCAGAAAACCATTGTCTGTATCACTTAATAGATAAACAGTTACAGGTAACTTGGTCAAGAACGGAATTCCACACTTTCCACACTGTCAAGACTGCGACCATGTGAGTGATAGCTCCGATTCTGATGTTGTAATGACAACCTAAAATCCTTTTACGATTGATCAAGTAAAGACCGTAATTTGTCACCAAAATCGGTAAGCAAATTACAACACATGGGTTTTGTTTCGCCAATGCTTTTAGTGAAAATTGATCAGTGATAATGTCGTTGTGTGGTTTGGGTGTGTTTACACTTGTGGCGAGTGATGTCTGTGTATGAAATAGAAGGGTTAAAAGGTAACACGTCTTTGAACAAAGTGGCTCGATGGGGATATCAGTATCTTCAGTGATCTTACCCTCGATCGTTATACTCAAGTGCCTGTTTTACCCGTCTTTAATTACTGACTCATCTGTTAGTTAGAATAATTTAATAATGCCCGTGATGTGGGCTCTTTTATATTGTGATGTGAGAGCGAACCTGCTTGTTAAACCCGGTTTAGAGGGAGACTAGTTGAAGTTAAATAGGGATACACTTTGCCTTCTTTAGTTGTTACCTGATCACCACTCCTCAATTAGACCATCGTTTAATATGACTTCTGTACAAGATAAACTCAGATATTGTAGTAGATGGCGGTTTGTACTCAGTATAGTGGGGGCATCCGACGCGCGATATACGGTTAGTGGATATGACTGATGCGCTGTAGCAACGCTGATGGTCAACTCTAGAACTTCCGGAGCAGCTACACACTTGCATGCCCTGTAGATCATGCTTAAAGTCAAAGTGTAGACAGTCTAGTTGCTTGATCGGTCATAGTGAGCTAATCGATTTGCCTCCACGTGCATGTATTTGAACAAAGAGTATTAGGCAAGATGCAAGATGCAACGGATCACCTTTACCGGTTTATGGATACAAAATCCAGGCAAAAAATGACGCAGTCCTAACCACTAGATTATTCCCAATTGAATGATGCTCCTACTGTTTACAGATTCATCTTACTCATCGCAGTCGTTCTCTGGCACTGACTAACACTTTTAAATGAGAAAATATTTTTTTCATAAGCAAAATACTTCAATCAATTTTTTTACCTCTGTGAAACAATGAGATGTTGTTACCGACAATACATGTGAGTGGTTTTCACGAAACACTATCCGTGCTCACCAAAACCAGCTGTTACTGTGTCTGCCGATTCAGAAAACGTTTTTAACTCATACAGTAAGTGTGCCATGATTAGGAACGTCCATATCACTGGGTTTGTATCTTTCAAAGTTAAATTTTTCAAACAAAGTTTAAAACCTGTTAAGGACCAACGGTTTGAGCGACTGCGGAGCAATATATCACGAAGCAGCGAAGGGTT